ATAGTCGCGATTGCCATGTTACATTGTTACGATAAAACCAAAAGTTTCGATTATAACTTTTTTAAATTAAAATATAAAATGAGAGGGAGGGAGAGATGGGGGTCAACATTCCGGGACTAACATATGGTTTAATATTATTTCAATAGTTCGCTTGCGCGTAGGGATCTTTAGCAGTGGGAGAAAAACCGGAGGACCCGGGGGAAACCCACGAGGTTGGACAGGCGACCCTACTCCTTGTCCTTGTCACGTAAACCGGGAAGAATCGAAACCACGCCACGTGACGCCAGATGACTCAATAACAGACCTTATGATACAGCGCGCACGTGGTAACCCTTCGACCCCCCCCCCCCCCCCCTGTGCCCAATATAAAATCGCAACAACCCGATTATCTAGGAAGTTGATTTTGTACAGGTCATGTAAATAAATATCTTGATTAATAAGTGAAACCCCTACAAAAGCCAAGATTTTTACTCCTACATACTGCATCTTTAAGAAATACGTGTCGTTTTTAAGAGTTTTTAATCCTGTAAAACGCGTGAAGATGATAAATTCAACCTTTCATTGCCTAAGTAGAACACAACTCCTGACAAACTTAATGTCAGATATGGAATTTAATATAAATACAATTTTATAATGTCACATGGGAAAATAATAGGAAAATTAGTAGGATTTTTGTTTAAATTTCGATAAATATTTTCAATAGCTAACAGCGATCCTTTAAAAAAACAAAACAGTGATTTGGTCAAGAAAATAAAATTATCTTTTCAAATAAAATTAAACCATATTCTTCTCTAGATGTTACAGTTTGGCTAAGAGGGCAAGACGCTGGCTCGCTAGCCTGGAGGTCACGTGTTCGATCCCTGCATCGGCGGAGAAAGTCCATCGGGATTTTCCGACGTGGTTTCCCCTTGTCAGTGGTGCAGAACGGAGGGCCTGACAAGGACAGCTGTCTAGTCCTTCGGATGGAACGAAAACCCGAGACCCCGTGTACATATTGGCGTTCACGTTAAAAATCCCTTGACAGTTGGAATTCGATATAAGAGTAGGCCATAGTGCCACTGCCCGGGCACAAATTCCCAGATAGCACATTGTGTGGCGTATGCCCGTCTTCATTAGCCCAGTAGGAACAGCACACTAGGACGTTGAACCCCATTACATTTCATTTCATTTATAGTTAGTGTAATACCTATGAAACCTCATTGATCAAATCCAATTCATTCATTGATCCCCCCCGCCCTCCCCTCCAACCTAAGTGCAATTATCAGTGTTATCGTAAATTTGCTCGGGTTCATGGCCATCACGAAGTAGAGAACGATAATAGCCTGTAAATGACTTGAATCTTTTTCTGAGGCATATTAACAGCTTTCTGCTTTAGATTGATGGTTTTAGATTTCCGTCGTTCATATTCACGGTCGGATTTTATGGTCGCAAAAGGTCTTATTGTCTTTTCTGCTTAATGCAAACGAAATCCTAAAGAGACATTAGTGGTTTGAAGACTTTCTTTGGTTGTTGGACAAAACAAAAATGAATGAAACGATCTTTCTTGTTTGTATCAATGGGGATAATGAAGACACACAAAACCAGACCGTGAACACTCGACGAACTTTGTCGGCCATCACAGGGATAGAACCCTGGACTTCATGGTGAGTGAGTCGGCACTTCAATCTGATTCAAGTACAGATCTATATTTCATTTCGGTTTTTTTTTTTTGATACTTTCCATGGCCTTACACTCCATGAAGATCTGACCAGTTGTGTTGAGGGCTCGAGTCAGAGGTCATACGAGCGTATTTTGACCCTATGACGTCAGACATTTGATTAACCAATCACGCCAAAACCTCGCCGTAACATACCCTTTTATTGGCTAATAGCTTACATCATCCAGAACAGGTCAATAATAATAACTCTTCCAGATCCTAGTGTAGTAAGACACGTAAAACGAAATTTTGAACTATAAAAACGAAACGAAATAGGATCTGTCGGAACCTGAATCCCGTACACAACGTGATAATACCCTGGTTAGCACGTGCGCGCTGTATCATAAGGCCTGTCATTGAGTCAACTAGCGTGGTTTCGAATCCCCGGTTGTACGTGACAAGGAGTAGGGTCGCCTGTCCAACCTCGTGGGGTTTCTCCGGGTCGGTCTACTGCTAAAGACCCCTACGCGCATGCGAATTATTGAAATAAAATTAATAATCATATGTTAGTCCCGAAATAACCTAGTTTGTGTCGGATGGACGTTAAACCCCATCTCTCTCCCTCTCTCTCCCTCTCTGATAATACCCCTTTATTCTTGTATTTAATGTGATCACAATCACGTGACCTCTATTTCATCAGTAGCTACGAGCAACATACTAAAACATAAAAAGCTTAATGTGATATCCATTCTTAGTTACAGTAAGTTAGCAAGTTCTGAATAGGTTTTAAAATGAACATTAACACTGACATATTCATATCGGTCTATGAATGTGTAGCCTACGGGCAAGGGGTGTTTAAAGGTTATTAGTAAAAGGCCGAGAATTTCATGATTTTATTTATAATAATAATATTTATGAATGTGTAGCCTACAGGCACGGGGTGTTCAAAAGATATTGGTGAAAAACCGACAATTCATGATTTTATGTCTAAAAACACTATTTGGCTACATATCACCATGTTATTTCTCGTCTCTTAGACTGGCTCTAACGTTTTTCCAAATGTCCGTTGGGTAGAATGGTTCCTACCACAGATGGGGAACATGTGACAGCCTCTTGCCCAAAAGCACGTATGAGGTACATTCATCATTAAAAACTTGAGATACACAAGCTGGAAGTAGAGACAAATAAACATGCAATTTTCCTCCCTACATTTCAACCTTAAAATCGTTAATATTCACCAAAACCTGTCAGAAAATGTATATACAAACAGTTTTTTTCAATTTCTACACCAAAAAGTCAACAAAAATCGCCATGCAAAAGGGGAAAAGAGAAAGGGGGAGAAAGACTAAAAATAGCTTCGGCATAATTAGTGAGCTGTGTCCATTTAACGTGACGAAAATTCGTTTCTGACAATAAACATGACACTGTGAATCTTATGGGCATGTATTACGTAACCCTGACATGGGTTTTATGTCTGGGGGTCACGGTGGCTAAGTGGGTAAGACGCTGGCTCGCTAGCCTGGAGGTCGGAGGTTCGATCCCTGCATTAGCCGAGAAAGTTCATCCAGATTTTCCGACTAGGTTTCCCCTTGTCAGTGATGCAGAAAGGAGGTTCTGACAAGGACAGCTGTCTAATCCTTCGGATTGGACGAAAAATCGAGGTCCCGTGTACACATTGACGTGCACGTAAAAGATCCCTTGACTGTTGGAATTCGATATAAGAGTAGGCCGTAGCGTCCCTCATAGCATACTGTATGGCGTATGCCGTATTAGCCCAGTTCGGAGCAGAACAGTAGGACGTTAAACCCCATTTCATTTTGGTTTTATGTCTGAATTGAAATCCCCGTCGCCGATGCCGAGCTATTTGACAAATAAAGAGAAAACATACACACACAGGCAATTTGCGGTTTGTAAATAAACATCCTGTTGTCTTCCTGAAAGGGAGGCCCGGGTTTGATGTTGGTGTTGGCCGAGGAGACGTTCCTTGGGATTTTCCAGAGTGGTTTCCTATTGTCAGTGGCGGGCAACGGCGTATAGTAATTTTGAAGGGACGGAAACCCATAGTCCTGGGTGCAGGTAGGCCTCCTATGACAAATAGGCGGATACAACCCCGTCAATTGTTTTCAGGCATGGGGTTTAACGTCCAATCAACACAAACTATGGTTCAATTTTATTTGAATAAATCGCTAGCGCGTAGGTGTCTTTAGCAATGGGAGGAAACCGGAGGACCCGGAGAAAACCCACGAGGTTAGACATTCGGCCCTACTCCTTGTCACGTACAATCGGGGGATTGAAACCAGGCCATTTGACTCAATGACGGACCCCATGATCCATTTGGTTGGTAACGAAGACGTATACTCTTGGTCCATGTATGTAATAATTGGGAATCGGATTTGGATACTGACCCGGTTGATATAATATCAAAATGATTAGAAATAAATACTCTTCTGGCCGACATTTTTACCGATATAAACTTTCCTCAACAAATTAAATTCTAAAACAATTGTTTAAATTATTAAAAAAAAAAGATGTTGGAAGCAAATCTGGATAAAAATATTTCCTATTTGCTGTGAATGGACACATGTATAGTAAGCAGTGACGTACAATGCGCCAATTCTGCCCGGACCAGCTTGTAATACTACTCCCGATGTGAACAAAGCAACGTGTTACGGACTAATGACGTCATATGATGTGACGTCACACGTAGAACTTTACTGGGGCGTGACCTTAAAGGTCAGTCGTCACATTAGCCTACCACGCTTTGAAACAGTCGGATGTATTCATGTGGAATTTAATCTAGTTATTTTATCATTAAATGTGAGATCTATCCCGCCATTATGAATCCCTTCAGGCAAATTATCAGACTGTGTATCAGTTGATCAGAATGAGTCATAAGATTATTGTCGTTAATATCCATGATACAAAAAACACAGAACCCGAGGCAATATTTTCATTCAAGCGCTCTTAAAAGATAAATGCTGTTTACGGAGTGAGAGAGAGAGAGAGAGAGAGAGAGAGAGCAACCCAAAGAAAACCCACGAGGTTGGACAGGCGATTAGATCCCGCCCCCCCCCCACCCCATGCCTCCTCCCAAAAAAAAAGATTATTTTTAAAGACAGCTAATTCATAATGTTAAAATAAAAGCACGTAATATAGTGGATCAACCACGCTCATGACGATTACAATGATAAGCTGCCAGAGAAAGAAATATGCATACCCTCATGCACGCAGGTTATTCATTTTTAGGTAATAATGAAACCAGGTAACAAGCCTTGAGGTATCCATGCATCACAAACAACAATAATAATTTAAAAACAAACAACAAAAGCAGATTAATATTGGAATATTTTACTGATGTAGGTGCATTAGGAATCATTCGGTATAATCATGTATATTTATTTCTTCTCTTGTATTCTTTATCGATTTATTTTTACACATTTGTGGAAAGAGAGATAGAGAAATAGGGTTTAACGTCCACTCGACACAAACTAGGTCATTTCGGGATTAACATATGGTTTAAATTATTTCAATAATTCCCTTGCAGTGGTCTTTAGCAGTGGAAGGAAACGGGAGGACCTGGAGAAAACCCATGAGGTTGGACAGGCGAACCTACTCCTTGTCACGTACAACGAGGAAATCGAAACCACGCCAGTTGACTCAATGACATACCTTATGACACAACGCGCACGTTTCAACTGAGGTAATATGTAAATATGTGGGTGGTAATGTGGTTTTACATTAATATTCTAATTTTTAAATTCATCAAGTGGATCGATTCAACAGAGGAGATATTTTCAAATTGAACTTGAACGTAGTGAATGATTGTCCACAGTGCCTAAACAGACAATTATAAAATTAAATGGGAACTATGATTAGCCTTTTTTTTTTGTTAAACAATATTTTTATTTTGGAAATTGCGAAACAGGGATTGGGAAACAGGTTTAGCCTATATAAAACCCATCTCCCTAAAACCTCTTAGCGTACATGAACAGGAATCTGAACCTCATCTTCGTTGTGAGAGGTGGGATGTGTATTGCCAATATACGTTGGATATTTATCGCCTGGGTAGATGATATAATCATCGCTTGGATCATGGGGATAATCACTGTTTGTGTACGGAGGTGATTCACCAGGATATTTACTGATGGTGTTCAAGGTGGATTGACCGTCTGGGTATTTATTGTCAGTATACCGTCTTTCGATCGGGTACTCGCCTGGGTATCCATATCTTGGATCTTCGTTTTGACGTCTTGCGACCGGGTATTCTTCTGGGTATTTGTAACTTGGGTATTCTTCTGGGTATCTGTAACTTGGGTATTCTTCTGGATATCTGTAACTTGGGTATTCTTCTGGATATATGTAACTTGGGTATTCTTCTGGGTATGTATCACCTGGATACCTGCCACGGTATCTATCATCGGCATACAGGGGATAGTCATTGTAGTATCTCCTATCCTCATAGCCATTAGCACCATCGTGTGTCCTACGATTAATGAATATAGTTGTATTGATTAAAAACGCTTATATGGATATACTACTTCTGAATTTATTAATATGCTACGTTTCGATACACATACAGATATCGTTATCAAGCAAATAATGATATTTAACACTCGTCTTATAAGGAGTAGTTGGTTAACATATTGTAACACCTGCCGATGACTCGGCGCTGCACGGATTGAAAGTAGTAAAACTCCGAATCTGGACGTGGTAGGCCAACCCCACCAGGCATATGTTACTCCCCGGTCCAGGCTACCCCTAAATGCCAAATTTCAGCCTCGGAACAGTCCTAGCGTAGCCAGCAACCCTGAACATATATGTACAAATAATTGTATAGATTAGAAACGAGAGAGGAATGGGGTTTAACGTCCACTCGACACAAACTAGGTCAATTTTATTTTATTAATTCGCTTGCGCGTTGGGGTCTTTAGCAGTGGAAGGAAACAGGAGGACACGGAGAAAACCCACGAGGTTGGACAGGCGACCCTACTTCTTGTCACGTACAACCGGGGAATCGAAACCACGCTAGTTGACTCAGTGACAGACCTTATGATGCATGTGATATAAGTGATATAAAACGTGGATTGTGTCAGATAAAGTAGAATTTACATGATTCAAAAGATGTAAGCATAATCGGCTATATTTTTGGAATGTGCAACCCCATTGTTCTGCATCTTGTCACGTAAATTCGTTAGATCAAAGTTTGTGGTGCAACAGCCTGAATTATTAGCGGATGGAATCTAACGTGTGCACTTTACAGCACAAGGCTTGTCGTGGGTGGGTTTATTTCTGATTTACAGATTTGTACGTCCATGTCCACAGAGTTCACTACTGATAAAGGGTCCTACGTGCACGTGCATTAGTGAAATAAACATGTTAATTCTACAATTATTTAGTTTTTGTTCAATGGACGTCAAACCCCACTCGCCATACAACCTGAGAAAAGAATAATTAAAATATATCGTATCTTACTTGAAATCTTTGATGAGATTGGATAAGGCATCAATACGGTCATCGAAACGATCGAACCTCTCAATAATCCGAAGCAAGACCTGTGTAATTGCTATTCCATTTGTACCCCTGACTGCTGGTTTGCTATAGTCGCGGTAATGATCCGTAGTTCCGACGGGATAGTTTTGACTGTCATAAGGATCTTCTGTTCCAAATGGATATCTGTTAGTGTCATAACGAGCATCAGATTCAGATGGGTTCCTTTGACTGCCATAATGCTCATCAGTTTCCATGATATACCTTTGACGGTCATAAGGGTCGCCAGTTCCAGATGGTTTGCTTTGAGGGTCATAAGGATCACCAGATCGAATTGGATATTTGTGACTGTCATAATGCTCATCAGTTTCCGTGATATACTTTTGACGGTCATAAGGGTCGCCAGTACCAGATGGTTTGCTTTCAGTGTCATAAGGGTCACCAGCTCGAGTTGGATATTTTTGACTGTCATAAGGAAAATCAACCCCCGTTGGTTTGCCTTTAGTGGCATACGAATCACCAGGTCCCGTTGGTTTACTTTTAGTGGCATACGAATCACCAGCTCCCGTTGGTTTACTTTTAGCGGCATATGAATCACCAGTACCAGTTGGTTTGCCTCTAGCGGCATACGAATCACCAGTACCAGATGGTTTACTTTTAGTGGCGTAATCACCAGTACCAGTTGGTTTACTTTTAGCGGCATACGAATCACCAGCTCCCGTTGGTTTACTTTTAGCGGCATATGAATCACCAGTACCAGTTGGTTTGCCTTTAGCGGCATACGAATCACCAGTACCAGATGGTTTACTTTTAGTGGCGTAATCACCAGTACCAGTTGGTTTACTTTTAGCGGCATACGAATTACCAGTACCAGATGGTTTGCTTTTAGTGGCATAATTACCAGTATCAGTTGGTTTGCTTTTAGTGGCATAATTACCAGTTCCAGTTCGTTTGCTTTTAGTGGCATAATTACCAGTACCAGTTGGTTTGCTTTCAGCGGCATACGAATGACCAGTATCAGTTGGTTTACTTTTAGCGACATACGAATCACCAGTACCGGTTGGTTTGCCTTTGTTGTCATAAGGATCGGAAGTTCCAGTTGGTTTAATAACATTTCCGTAACTGTCCCGTACAGTTGGTTTTCTACCCTTGCTATACGAATCAAATGACGCCGGCATACATTCTATGAAAATAAAACACAAATTTAAACCATTTAAAATACAACTACATTCCCATCATCTGTAATCGCCAGATAACGGAAAGAATAACAGCAGTGTGAATGGTTTTAAATACAACTACATTCCCATCATCTGTAATCGCCAGATAACGGAAAGAATAACAGCTTCCAGTAAAGGCAGCAGTGTGAATGGTTGAACCCAACCAATTTAACGTTTTATTTTTCTTCACTGGCCTGGTGAATTGCGACGGTAATGTGATCCCGTTAGCGTCGTTTGTACGTGCTTCTCATCCAATTTCAATGGTTATTTTACGTACAAGCATCTTGTATACCGAGTATCGTTTTATTGTTAAATCCGAACGACTAAATGACGTTGCTATCAGGAGCCCCCCCCCCCCTTTTGCAGCACTAGTCACAATAAAGCACGTTCAAAAATCATGACGAACTTTCACGATCAATATCGGAGTCGACCCGGGTCATTCTGAATATGTTGGGGAACTTTTGATTGTGGCGGTATAAAAACCCTGGATCGATGGTTTGATGGACTGTAACTACATATTGATAATCGAAACTAGCCCGGTAAAAATATATGAACCAAGACTAAACTTTAACCGTAAGAGAAACTGATAAGGGGGGTAATTCGTAGTCTCTGATATCAGGTCTCACAAACTAGTAAATGTCCGACAGGATAAAGCTCCAGTCCCTTGCCAGCCGCCGCGTCCAACAAAGTACAAGTAAGCATAGACAATGAATTCCCCCGACTAAGATAAGATGACGAATGTAAAACCAATAGACATTCATATAATATAACATAGCTTCAAAATGCTAAAGGATCTAAATCGCTAATATTTGGGACCTTGAAAGTGACTCAAATGGGTCGCAACGCATTTAATAATGTAATATGAATGTATATAAACTGATTTACATTTAATCGTTTCCATTTTTTCTTTATTTTCAAATCAGTTATGTTCGGCGAAATACGCCAGAAGTTTAATCGAATGGCAATCTCTAGCGTCTGGTTATTCAGTCTACACAGCTATTATTTAATGCACATGCTCCCCGGATAAGAATATGGGGTCACCGTTTGACATATGTCTAGCCTCGTTCTTCGAGTCCCTTGTTACAAATGGCGCTGAAACGCATTATGTTACACGATTCGTGTACCAATCATAAAATATTTATTTTGTCTTAAATATTAGATATGAGAATCCCATCTTTTCCCGGCAAGATCACAACATCAATGTTGATTTAAACTGACAAATAATTCCTGTTTTCAATGTCGAAGACTTGGGCTGATATTAATTGTAGTTTTACAAACTGCAGCCATTATTATTTGGCAACTAAATAATAGATTAGAATATTTCCATGAAAAAACTAAATATAGTTGTTTGACCTACCTGCTGCCCAGACAAGGCATGCTAGATAAATAAACTTGTTCATCTTTGTTTGAATCTGAAAATAAGCAACACAATCGTAAAACTTCGGTCATTTGAGACAAAGATATCCAAAGAAAAGCTGTAAAATAGGAAACCCGTCCAGAGTTAATCTCCAAAATGGACAACTCTGAAAGATTCATATTTCCAAGGAACAGGTTGACACCTGTATGATGCATATGCATAGAATGTATATTACGCAACGTGGCAGAGCCAACCCGTGATAAATTTCGACCTACTCACTAAAACTGACAACACATTCATCAGGAACAGTTGAACACCAACCTCGTGCTTGTACTGGTGAAGTGCATTAAAGGTCGAATGGGCGGGACAGGTCAATGGTGACATTTGACCTACTCAGAATGTGATCGGTCCCCACATTTGACAACTCAGGATTCCACGGATCAGGCTGATATCTATGTTCTGGGGGACTCGATCACATATCTACTAATTCCAGGCTTGAAACTTTATCTACTAAAGATGTTAATTAAATCTTATTCAGGTCCTGGATTAAAGAAGTTGCCTTTAGTCGTTGATTTTATCATTCGGTATTGTTGTATAGTTTCACTGAGATCAATAAAGTCATTTAAAAAGAGAATATATTTGAGATGAATGTGAACTGTCCGCCAAATTCTTAACAAATGATACCTAATACCTTAGCACCACGTCTGCCAATTATCGGATGACGTCCATCTTGTATCTAATCTTTCAGATTTCGGCTATGCAAAAACAGAGAGAGGGGAGAGAGAGGGAGAGAGGGGGGGGGGGGGTAAATACGTCCACTCGAATCAAACTAGGTCATTTCGGGAATAACACATGGTTCAATTTTATTTAATTAATTCTCTTGCACGTAGGGGTCTTTAGCAGTGGGAGGAAACCGGATTACCTGTAGAAAACCCACGAGGTTGGACCCTACTCCTTTCAGATTTCGGCTATGCAAAAACAGAGAGAGAGAGAGGGAGAGAGATGGGGGTAATTACGTCCACTCGAATCAAACTAGGTCATTTCGGGAATAACACATGGTTCAATTTTATTTAATTAATTCTCTTGCACGTAGGGGCTCTTTAGCAGTGGGAGGAAACGTAAGGACCTGGAGAAAACCCACGACAATAGACAGGCGACCCTACTCCTTGTAACGTACAACCGGGGAATCAAAACCACCTCAGTTGACTCAATGACAGACCGCGTGATAAAGGGCGCATGTGCTAACCAGTCAGTCAGCCAACCCCCACCATCCAGAGAAGGGTCTGTTATTCTATTTGTTATACGAACGTGTTTGTTTTCCATAATTTATCTGACGGAAGTGGTGCATACGAAAAATGAAAAACTGCGACAAACCGCAGCATCTGAAAGAAAAGGTGGTGTTATTTTGTCGGGAACGTTAACATCAACTTGCTAGGTTGTTTAAATGGTAAAAACCCTCACTGGTAAGGTGATACCGTTGACTAATGAAGCTAGGCCTTTTAGTAATGACAATTTTTGTCATTAAATCATATAGGTGTTCAGTATTCTAAACTAATGTTTAGTTTGTATAGAAAGTGGTTACAAATTATACAGTTGCCATTAATTAGCAGTTGTTTAACTAGCTGTAAAAGATGTCACTACTGATGTAAAAGCATGACTATTTATAAAAGCCATCACTATTGAATATACGAACCCAAAGAGTAGTAATGTACACTGAAAAAAAAACTTGTGTTGGATCTCAACACAAGTACTTGTGTGAAAATTATTCTACACAAGTTATGTGTTGTTTTGCATTGCATTAACACAAACTTGTGTTCTGTTTAATGCATTAACACAAATCTTGTGTTTTTTCCATATAATTAACACAAGTAATGTGTACCGTCAACAAATATTTTTTTTTTTAAATTTGAACTCCATACAAAGTCTTAATCCGGGGGTCCACAAGTAAGAGAAAAGTATTTTTTACTCAGACAATATAGCCAGACAGACTTGAATGCTAATTGGTGTTAAGATGTCTGTAGTTAAAATAAAGTTGGGCCCAATAAACTGGTAGATCAAAGGCCTGTTGAGCGCTCATGCCCGGTGTGATTTTAACAATTGACTCCAAATGCGTTGACAAGAAAATATGTAAAACTATTATTGAATGTGATTGGTTGATAAAATCAACGTACTATAGGCTACATTTTGTCTGCGATATCATCTCGGTGGAAGCGGACATTAAATGAAGTGATTTCACACAATTAATTTAACATTTAACAACGTGCTGAGATGATTTTAGAGCAGTGATATGTTTGACAAATGTAAGCTAATGGTTACGGTTACGGAGGACGTGACGGCGGTGGTTACGGAGGTGGTGGTGGTTATGGAGGCGGCTGTGGCGGATACGGAGGTGGAGGACGAGATGGAGGAAGATGGTAGTCTAGATTGACTGCTAAAACATTTAAGAATTTATAATCAACCTAATGTTGAACCATGGAATTCCAATTTTACAACTTGGGTACCCTGTTTTCTTTAATTCACTAATCCATTCATTAATAGGACGCGGTGATGCACTGTTAATACATCTTCAGAAATGTTGGTGAATATTGTTTTGTTTAGACCAAAGGGTGGTTCAATGAACAATTTTATCTTATGCTCGTATTCAAGTGAATTTTATAAATGAACAATTGCCAACACAAAGCCAATAACTGAACTAGTCGATCCTTGAGTGTTTGAATATTGGCAAAATAATTTTTCCTTTTTGAATCTTTTTTGTCACGCCTTATCATTATTTTCATTATGAATAACTTCGATTTTAGTGTTTTGGAGTCCGAGTACGTGTGTTTACCAGTGCTTTCATAATGTTGCATTTGTCCATGTCATTCCAAAATAGACTACATTTTGTGTTATTATGTAATTGAGTCATGCATAATCTATAAATGGACATTGTTGATGACTTGAGAACATAACAAAGAATGTTATTTAGACTGTTAATATCAATAATCATTATTTTGCGCGTATCATTTTGCATTGTAAAAGTGCTTTTGAGAATATCCCAGGTGACAATTTAAGTGGAGTTGTTAACTGCTATTTTTGAGTTTCCTTAAAGAGTTTTGATCTGAAAATGTTTTATTGGAAACTAAACTACTGACTATATGATCATTAATTATAATTAAAGAATATTTCATGAAACAGCTCGACTTGAACCAGCAGGTAAGAATCTGTTTTGAAATTATATCTTGGGAGGTTGGATTGGCGTTGGAGACCCGATTGGCGGCCATTTTGATTCTTGTTTCATGATTTTTTATATTATAACGATTTTGCCAAGAGTAGACATAAACGCGGGCACAGATTAGAAATTTTTTTTTTTACACTTTTGTGTTAGTTGAATTGTAATCTAATTTATGTTTAAAAAAAACAACCTAATAAGCAGATATTTCCCCACACCCTCCGTTGTTCAACCTCTGTGAGTCTGTGTAATATTTAATATTAGGCCCCATTTTTGCCTGATTCAGTCACAGTTAATAAATAATGGAACTAGAATCAGCCTGTGGAAGTTTCTCTATAGTTTTATTATTTTTTCCAGTCAGTTATGATATGTGACTTTTTCCACCTTCCAGCAATAATTATTGAGAATCTACCAAGGACTCCATTGGCATTGAATCGAAGAAAAACAGGTAAAAATTTCAATTAATTTTTATATTTTCTTTTTTTTTTACCAATGTCCTACAATGATTAGTGTATGTGAACATACAATCCAAAATAAAGTATTTATATGGCACTTACATGCAACAGAGAGAGAGAGAGAGAGAGAGAGAGAGAGAGAGAGAAATGACATCCTTACATACATGTACTTGTATTTGAAGAATCAAGTAGTCCATGCTGTGCCTATATGCATACCGGTAATCAACTACGACGAGGATTAGACTACTTCCGTTTCCACCCTTTCCCTGCACACTGTCTCATTCTACATGTTTTAAAAATTGGTATGTTACTGTAATATTAATTATGCACGAACCTACATGTAGAGTTGTTGCAAGATGGGTCCTTATATCTACTTAGCCTACAGACGCTAGGTCGTTTCGGGAAAAAGGACAGGTAAGGTTAAATTTAATATGAATAATTCGCTTGCGGGTATGGGTATTTAGCAAAAGGAGGAAACAAAAGGCCCCAGAGATTAGAGAAGGTATGCTTCAATTTAATATTAATAATTCGCTTGGCGTAGGGGTACATGTATTTAGAAAACAGAGGAAACCGAATGACCCAGCGAAAAAATTTAAGAGATTGGACAGGCGACTCTACTCCTTGAAATTGAAACCATGCCACTTAACACAATGACAGACCCTGTGATTTCATGCACATGCATTACCTACTAGACCATTCCCCCCAGCCCCACCCCATATCGAATAAAAGTATGACTTATTTCAAATATGATATTTACATATAAAGAAAGTAGAGAGACTTCAATCTTACTAGAAAAATACTAGATTACCTGAAATGAAATGGGGTTTAAAGACAACGTCCTACTGGTCAGCTCCGACTGGTCTAATGCATTGTGCTAAGTGAAAATGTTTGTCTGGGCAGCGACACTATGGCCTACTCTCATACCGAATTCAAACTGCCAAGAGAACTTTTATGTGTACGCCAATGTGTACATTGGATCTCAGGGGAAACCACTCTGCAAAATCAAGATGAGCTTTCTCGGTCAACCCCAAGAGATAACCTGTGGCCTCCATGCTAGTGTGCCAGCACCTAATTCACTCAGTCACCATGGCCGTCTTCTAATTACTGTGACAGTGAAACCATGTGACAAACAAGGATTATTAAAATAGACTTTTACGGCTTAAGTAGTTCCTTGGGATTAAAACTTTTGATATATATAGATACATTAGTTTCAATTTCATATCACACAGTTTGTATATATGGTAAGGTAGCTTTAATCGTAAATTACATATCATGTATTTATTTTTTCAGTTTCAATATTGGATGTATATGCAAATCACCCAGAAAAAGATCATGTAATAACAAAAGAAATTATAAAAGAAAAAAATGGAAGAAGAAATGGCTGGAAAAAATGATGATAGAGCAGCTTTTTCTTGGTGGGTAACTATTCAATTCTAATTGTTATGCTATTTTGAAATCTAAAATTCAGTTTAGTATAGTCAAACTGTACACGTCATGTATGAGCAGAGACAGAATCTTAGTTATATGTAGATATCACTGTCTCATCTGTGGCAAAGCAAACCAACACATGAAACAAAACAAATGTAATTAACATTTTTTTAATTAATCAAAACTGTCTAGTCAATTTAAGCCAACTAATACATTGCCATTTTTTTTTTCAGTTACCCACCTCGGAAGATCAAGTTGGAAAGGGCTATTGATATTGTGGAGACGTTTTCTCACAGAGCTTGCTTATCAGACAAAGACTATGTAAGTACCATGCATATTTTCTTTTTAAATCAGGAACTGGTTCTATACACTTGGTGGGGGGGGTAGATGGTCGAATGGTTAGCACGTGCATGCTGTATCATACGGCCTGTCATTGAGTCATCTGGCATGGTTTCGAATCCCAGGTTGTATGTGACAAGGATTCAGGTCGCCTGTTCAACCTCGTGGGTTTTCTCCGGGTCCTCCGGTTTCCTCCCACTGCTAAAGACCCCTACGTGCAAGCGAATTAATGAAATAAAATTAAACCATATGTTAGTCCCGAAATGACCTAGTTTGTGTCGAGTGGACGTTGAACCCCATTTCTCTCTCTCTCTATACACTTGGTATTCTAGTTCTTCTTTTTGTAGCATAGTCTAGGGCTATGCCATTTGAAATACGATTAACATGAAAGTCAGCAGGCTTGTTTGGTTGATTTTCTTACAGTTTTGATATATTACTTCAAAACTATAAGATGGATGCAATGTTACACCCTTTCATAACCATTATTATAAAGCGTTCAAATGCATGAATTTGTAAAATATAATTAATATCTTTTTGTAATAATGTTTGCAATACTGTATTCACAATTGCCTTAGTGGAGGTAATTGGTAAATCAAATGATTATTTTTTCATTATTGTCTTTTTTTCAAGACTTTTGTTCTGGCTTCTGACCCATTGAGGCATAATGGGTCTGTAACTTGAAAAGGCACAATAAGTATTATGCAAAGTTGAAACTCAACGTGTGGAAAAATAAGTTGTTTATTTAAACATTCTGAACCGTAGAAAGTATATTTATTGCCAACTCAACCATATACCTTCAGTCCTTCACGTTTAAGGGGAGCTTTTGTTCCTGCTCCTCTCGACGCACGTCAGCTTTCCTTCGAAGGAGTCATTAAAGACTCCGGCAGATTAGCTAAATCGCTCTCCTAAATATTGAGATTTTTGTTTACTTTTAAACTGCATATATTCAAGGTATCAGGAGCTTTTTATGGCTCCCGTACAATTTTATAAACATGAAGGACTGTACCTTTTGAATATTAAGCCATCAAATTATTTTATAATTTTGAAAATGAAATGAAATGGGGTTTAACATCCTACTGTTTTGCTCATAAATTGGGCTAATGAAGACGGGCATAAGCCATACAGTGTGCTATGAAGGGAATTTTGCCCGGGCAGCGGCGCTACAGCCTACTCTTATATCGAATTCCAATTGCCAAGGGATCTTTTACGTGCACGCCAATGTGTACATGCGACCTCGGTTTTTCGTCCCATCCGAACGACTAGACAGCTGTCCTTGTCAGGTCTTCCGTCCTGTATCACTGACAAGGGGAAAACACGCCGGAAAATCTGGATGAACTTTCTCAACCAATGCAGGGATTGAACACCCGACCTCCAGGCTAGTGAGCCAGCGTCGTACCCACGTGATCTCCTTATAATTTTGAAAAAGAATGCTGTGATTGTAAAAGCTATCTGTTGCATTTGGCCTGTTATTTAAATATTTTATTTTTGTTTTTAATGTTAAATATCCCTCTCAAACACAATTATATTTTAATTCTTTCCAGAAATTTGTGTAAAATATAGACTGTAAATTAAAACTTTCATCTTTTAACTGTTGAGTCAATTTAAGTGATCTAATACATAGTATGTTTTTTTTCTCAGTTAACTACATCAGAAAGATAAAGACAGTTGGAATGGCTATTCATATTGTGGAAACTTTTCTCACGGAGCTCGATAATCAGGCAAAATGTAAGTAACATATATATTTGTATTTTTAATCAGGAAGTACTTCTATACACTTGCTTGGTAATCTAGTTATTCTTCTTGGGGCAATGCCTAGGACTCTGCTGTTTCAAGTACTTGGCATGCTTGATTTTTGCCAATCACATCAATTGATTTCCTTCAAGTTGCGATAGGCCCTACATGTATGTGTATTTTTACAGTAAATAGCAGTTAAATAATGATGGACAGTATCTTACTTTCAAATAGATTTCAATAGATTTTAAAGGGTAATATCCAATTTGTTGTCAAAAATTTGTTGTCAATGGAAATAAAATAAGAATGGGTCCAAAAATAATTAGACATTGCCAAGTAAATAGGTGCTGCCATGATGTAGTAGGGAATCTGGATTTGCAGACAATACATGTATGAAAGGGTGAATAGTTGACCTATTATGAGACTTCAGTCCCAAATCTCAAGACTTTTTTCTGACTTCTAAGGCCGTGTTGAATTGATTCCTTGTTTCTCCTGCCACCACTCTGGCAATCATGTGCGGTAGTGCGGTAAACACAACACAAAGTGGGTTTCAAAACACAAAGTGGTCTGGCATAATACCTATATAGTCTGAGGGTTGTGTACCATTTTTAATAATATTATAAATAATCTAGTTATATTATTGGTTAGAATAAAAACACAGATAATATTTATTTAATTAAATAAATTTAATAACAAACTAAAATTTGGTAACAAGTGCTTCTTTGTTTAACTTTTTAAAAAATGAAATAACCATATTTTGATATAAATTTTCCGTATTCTTGTGTTACAATACAATGGAAACATTCCAGTTAGACGAAATTTGATTTGCTTGTTGAGTTATAGATGGTTTCGACAATATCATCGAATGTGAAAGTGCTGGGAATACACACCAAAGTCGATTGTCGAGATAAGTAAATTCGCGTACCGGTCTGCTTAATTTATTGATGTTCAAGGAAATAATAGTGGTTCCGTTCGTTCGTTAATTTATTGATGTTCAAGGAAATAATAGTGGTCCCGTCATGGACCTTATTTTATAATACATGGACCTTATAATTATAAGGTCCATGGTCCCGTTCGTTCGTTAAACTCCAGAAACGAACGAACGGGACCACTATTATTTCCTTGAACATCAATAAATTAGGCCGACCGGTACGCGAATTTACCTATGTCCCGGCATAGCTCACCATTTTGTAAGGCGTGCGTTATTTATTACACAAGATATGATTGAGTGATACTTGAATAATAATGACGTGTTATAATTTTAGCCAATGAAAAAATTGATTATTCAGGTTCCCGGTTGAATATTAGCGACTGTCTTACAATTTATAATATGCTTTCTCATTAGCCGAAATGACTGCTACACGCGCCATTTTGCGGAATTCATCCAATCATATACAGTGTAACTTATTCCATAGTATGCGGGCCCCTACATGTGTATTATCAACCGGATCCATTCACTTGATTTGATGTTTGTTTATTCGGTGCAATGCCTATTTTCTGTCTTGTCCGCAGGTTTATCTTGTAGATTTTTGTTTTGCGTGTAGTGGCCCCCCCCCTGCACTTACTTATTTAGTTCGTAACGAGGAATAAACAACGAGAATTGACTTCTGATGTTTGGTAGAATTTTATTTAGATGTTATTAACGTAATTTTTTGAATATTTTTTTTGTGTTAAAAACGTAAGCGCACGATTTTCGGGGTCCTCGACCTAAGCGCGCGGGCGAGGAGAAACAAGGAATCAATTCAACACGGCCTAAGTCATTTGATTTGCGCATAATAATCTGCCTGGGTCTGTAACTGGACAAGACACAATAAGCGTTACGCAAAGTTGAAACCAAATAGAGACTCGGTCTCGATGTGGCAAAATAAATTGTTTATTTAAATGTTGTGAACCATAGAAAGTATTCTTATTGCCTACTTTTTATTTTTTAGGCTGGAACACCATTGAAAGAGTATTTGCTGTATGATAACAACAAGAAAACCCAAGCATCAATTTATTTTATACTTCTGGGAAAGAATGCATTTGACCCAATTTTTAAATATTTATTTTTTGTTATTAATGTTAAATTTTCTTCCAAAACACAATTAGATTTTAATTCTCTTCAGAAATGTATGTATTATATAGCAAGTAAAGTGACATATAAATCACTTAGAATTTGATCAGAAATCATAAAGTATTTAATAGGCATTACTAGAAACCAAATGTAGATCAAATACACCCAGAATTACAAAAAACCTTGCCCTACATAAAGGTGACTTTCCCTTGCTTATGAAATAAAATACGGTTTAGTATCCTACTTTTCTGTGTTCTTAGAGTCAAGGGTTCTTTAACGGGAACGGGGGGGGGGGGGGGGGCGGGGGGCTGCAATGATTAACACGCACACATTTGATCAGGAAGTCTGTCATTGAGTCAAATAATTCAATTGTCAAGGGTTCTTCTAAGTGAATGCAGTGGGGGTGGTTTCGATTCCGGGAATGGGGGAGGGGGTGGTGGATGGCCGAATGGTAAGCACGTGCATGCGGTATCATACGGCCTGTCATTGAGCCAACTGGCGTGGTTTCGAATCCCCGGTTGTACGTGACAAGGAGTAGGGTCGCCTGTCCAATCTTGTGGGTTTTCTCCGGGACCTCCGGTTTCCCCCCACTGCTAAAGACCCCTATGCGCAACGAATTATTGAAATAAAATTAAACCATATGTTTATCCCGAAATGACCTAGTTTGTGTCAAGTGGACATTAAACCCCATTTCTCTCTCTCCCTCTTTCGATTCCGGGCTTGTACCCAATTATCCCTTGCCATATCCAACACTACTGACAAGTGGGAACTATGCCGGAAAATCCAGTTGAAATTTCTCGGCCAACACCTTATACTCACTGAACCACTGTGGCTTATGACTTGTGATTGTATATAAATTTTTTGTACATATGATATTTTTTTATTTCAATCCTGTAATCTTGATGCTTTGCTTCTTTTATTTACAAAATATTCATTTTGTTTGGGTTTTTTATAATGAGGAAAAGGTTTTACATCATTTTATTACTCCTGCAAAATAGTGCATTTTTCTTTTGTTAGTTTTCTGTGTATATTAGTTATTTCTATATGTCTCACAAATCACTTGTAGTGTGATTTTGTAGCACTTTTCAGTTTTTGAAATTGTTTCAATTTAGTGCATAATTAATCTTAGTGCTTGGTTTGGATGTTATTAAATTTAGATATATTTGAATTATATATTTTGGAGTATGGGTTAGGGATACTGTGTACATATCTTTATATTCTCAGTTCTTGTTTTGGGGTAAAGAACAATTTATATAGCTATTTTATATTTTGTGATAGGTAAAGTGTGTGGGATTAAGAACAATTTAAATAGCTATGTTATATTTTGTGATGGGTAAAGTGGGGTGTGTGTGTGTGGGGGGGGGGGGGGGGTCATTATATATAACACAATATAATTAGTATTAGAATTCTCTGTTTTTCTGTTAACATTTCAAATATCTATTTAGTTTTGATGTATTAATTTACGTTTTCCTATGATTTTATGAATAAATAATAATCTTACAAGAACAAAACAAAATTTTGTTTCCTTCTTTTATCAAACTTTACAGGTCTAACAGAGCAAAGAGAGGGGTCCTGCATAAAAAGGTTGCTATACTGGATATAAATTGGGGAAAAACACAACACAAGTTTTTGTGGATGGTTATACACAAGTTTGTATGAAACCACACAAGTTTCAGAAATTTCAACACAAGTTTCAGAAATTTTAACACAAGTTTCAGAAATTTCAACACAAGTTTCAAAAAATTCAACACAAGTATTGTGTAGATTTTCACACAAGTTTCAACACAAGTTTGTGTTGTTAATTGATAAATTTTAACACAAGTTTTGTCATACGGTCTGTCATTGAGTCAACTGGCGGAGTTTCGATTCCCCGGTTGTACGTGACAAGGAGTGGGGTCGCCTGTCAAAACTCGTGGGTTTTCTCCGGGTCCTCCGGTTTCCCCCAACTGCTAAACACCTCTACGCGGAAGCGAATGATTGAAATAAAAATTGAACCATGTGTTAGTTCCGAAATGACCTAGTTTGTGTCGAGTGGACGCTAAACCCAATGTCAAGTGGGCGTTAACCCCCCCCCCCCTCTCTCTCTCTTCTCTCCCTCTCTCTCAATAGTCACAGTTTTAACACATTAAGTGACAAACCACTTGCTTAATGACTATACTGCCTTATCACTAACAATTGTAACTTAACTGTCGTATATTTTCATTTAGAACCGTTATGTATTGCTTAGTCAACGCTCGTCGTTCTTTCTGTTATTACACCCGGAGCTTCTCCTTTGGATGAAATTCACTTTGGGCGCTTTTCCTGCCAAGATATTGTCTTACCCAAAAGGCTGGATCAAGCCTGTTTCGTGGCTTTCTCTGGCAAGTTTCGTAGGAAACACTTGTCTACGATATCACCCTTGGTGGAAGTGGACGTAAAACTCCAGGAAATAACGAACTTTGTCAACGATATCAACGTTACAGTGTCTGTGTATAAACGATTGAAGGCATCTGACAAGGTGCTGGGGATCACGTGGCTAAGTGGGTAAGACGCTGGCTCGCTAGCCTGGAGGTCGGGTGTTCGATCCCTGCATTGGCCGAGAAAGTTCATCCAGATTTTCCGGCATGTTCCCCCCTTGTCAGTGACGAAGGATGGAGAGCCTGACAAGGACAGCTGTCTAGTCGTTCGGATGGGACGAAAAAACGAGGTCCCATGTACTCATTGGCGTGCACGTAAAAGATCCCTTTTCAGTTGGAATTCGATATAAGAGTAGGCCGTAGTACTCATTGGCCTGCACGTAAAAGATCCCTTTTCAGTTGGAATTCGATATAAGAGTAGGCCGTAGTACTCATTGACCTGCACGTAAAAGATCCCTTTTCAGATGGAATTCGATATAAGAGTAGGTCATAGTGCCGCTGTCCGGGCAAAATTTCTCTCATAGCACACTGTATGGCGTATGCCCATCTTCCATAGAACAGTTCAGAGCAGAACAGAAGGGAGAGAGAGAGAGAGAGTTTAACGTCCACTTGACAAAAACTAGGTCATTTCGGGACTAATATACGGTTTTATTTTATTTCAATAATTCGCTTGCGCGTAGGGGTCTTTAGCAGTGGGAGGAAACCGGAGGACCCGGAGAAAACCCACGAGGGTTTAACGTCCACTCGACAAAAACTAGGTCATTTCGGGACTAATATATGGTTTTATTTTATTTCAATAATTCGCTTGCGCGTAGGGCTCTTTAGCAGTGGGAGGAAACCGGAGGACCTGGAGAAAACCCACGAGGGTTTAACGTCCACTCGACAAAAACTAGGTCATTTCGGGACTAATATATGGTTTTATTTTATTTCAATAATTCGCTTGCGCGTAGGGCTCTTTAGCAGTGGGAGGAAACCGGAGGACCCGGAGAAAATCCACGAGGTTGGACAGGCGACCTTACTCCTTGTGACTTGTCACATACAACTGAGGATTCGAAACCACGCCAGTTGACTCAATGACAGGCCTTATGATACAGCGCAATCGTGCTAACCATTCGGCCATCCACCCGCCACCCCACCCCCCGAACAGAAGAACGTTAAAACCCATTTCATTTCATTCCATTTTGACAAAGTGCTAAATAATACGGGTGAAGTAAAAGGAACATTAAAGCACACTTACCGATGGAACAACTTATATTTGATCCACGCCGAACAAAAACTTATTCCTTCTCATCCAAGCTATTTGTGAGATATATTCGGGTAAGTTATATTATATGTATTTTTCCTAAAGCCATATTTAATAGGATAATAAAGTTTATTACCATAACTTTTATCTGGAAAGATCTAATTTTTCCTATTCGGTAAAGTCATTTTGAATAGCATAATAAAAAAATATTAAAATCACATTTATCTGAAAAGATCTGATTTGTTCTCGTTTTCGATTTTTGTTCTTTTTGATTTTTCTTTCATTAATGATATGTGTATATAGATACACTTGGAGCATTGACCTTAAACATACTCAAACTCATACTGTGTATTATATAGATATTGAAATTCAAACTGAAACATTCTTTAAAAATAGATAATGTAAGATTTGGATAAAAAGCTGACCGTTCTTGCTACAATAGTTTAAAGATACATTATGTAAGATTTAGATAAAGAAATGCTTGCTATAATAGTTCTAAAATAGATCATTTTAAATGAATAGTTTGAAAATTTCATTCAAATTACTCTATTGCCAGCGAAGATAATATTAGCTTTTGAAAGTTTGACAAGACGTGTGCAATAATTGCAACCACCGTACTTGTTGTTCGAAGCTAACTCTCGCACCTCCATTTTTAAATTAAATCAAAAAATATGGCTGAACCATTATAATCCATTTAATATCGGAGAAATCCGATGCCATCGAGAGTTGATTATGGTCTTTTCAAGTTAATTAATGTCTAATTAATAGTTTATATAACATGTCAGGCCTAAAGAAAGACGTGCAATAGACAGATTTAGCTCTTGTATAATGAATGTTTAATATGATTAATACAATGACATCATTATTAATGTGACGTCATAATGTATGTTTAAATCTCCTTCTGCTTGGGCTGTGATTATTATGTCAGATTTTATCTCCCGATTCATTTCAATTATCGGTACATTTTGCCTGGGCAGCGGCGCTACGACCTACACTTATTTCAATTCCATCTACCAATGATCTTTTACGTGCCCGCCAATGTGTACACGCAGCCGTGTTTTTTTTTTATCCCATACCCTTGTCAGACTCTTCTGCACTACGCTTTAGTACTAAACGCAAACGACAGTCACGAATAGCCCGTCTTTGATCCACTAATGTTAAATTATTGTATTTTAAAAGTATTTGCTGTGCTATTTGAATCACTGCTAGTGGGCAAATTTAACCTGTAAACATCAAAATAACATTACGGAGTGTATTATTTAAACCAATTCGTTTGATTTAGCTAATGTCATTGTCGTGCTTATTTAGCTAATGTCATTGTACATGAAGATTCACTAGCATATTCTTACATTATAGTCTGATGCTGTAGGCGTCAATAAATTCCTCTATTTACTTCACGAAGCCTTTCCGTAACGCCGCGTCTCACTACCATAATTATATGGTTAAAATTTGACTGTAATTGTCTGCCCCACCCCCCTCTGTGAATTCCTATTTATTTAAAGGAGACATAATATTGAAAGAGAGAGAGAGAGAGAGAGAGAGAGAGAGGTGGGGTTTAACGTCCACTCGACACAAACTTGGTCATTTCGGTACTAACATATTGTTTGATTTTATTGTAATAATTCGCTTGCGCGTAGGGGTCGTTAGCAGTGGAAGGAAACCGGAGGATCCGGTGAAACAATAGGTTAGGAGATAATGTGAACGAATCCGTAATAAATAACAAGACAAAGACACCTTATAATATTATTGTATTTTATCTCTCGGGGCACGATTTATAGGATATAACGTGTTTTCATATAATTGCCTACACTAAAACACAATCCCAGTTAACCCGGAGAAACAATAGAGTAAAAGATAATGTAAGTAACAAGACAAAGACAGCTTGTAATATTATTGTATTTTATCTCTCGGGGCACGATTTAAAGGATATAATGTGTTTCATATAATTGCCTACACTATAACCCAATATATCCCAATTCTAATTTATCACCTGCCCGGAGCCGTACTCATTAAAGGGACAATAACACTCTTGCTGACTTGACAGCTCCAGAAAATAAATAATAGCCTTATTCTAAGTACTAGATGTATTAGTGTCCCACCTGTTGTGTAAATTATCCATTAAATCCTATTTTACTTGTCCAAAGGGTTCAAAAATATTTTTAAATCCAAGTCACATTCGAAAAGCTTTACGTCAGGTTTTTCAAATCATTTAGTTGAATTTTTCCATTTTTTTTAAATTAGGTGTGTTAAGATGAAATTTTTATCATCAATTAATTGGAATATTGTAAAAAAGTACAATTTGTTGATCAGAATAAAGATTGGGACATATTATTCAGTTACAAAAAGAGTGGTATTGAGCCTTTAAACCGCTATACTCTTGTAAATAAATAGTACTTGATACGGTTGTGTGAGAGTACAATTAGGTTCCAAAGTTCTCCTACCTTTATGAAGCATAGCAAAATCTAAGTAAATAATATTCCATATAATTATCTTGTTTTATTTCGTGTCAGTTACAAGATGACGTTTAAAGGAGCTAAATTCTCTTAACTCAATATTTTCCTTAATATTAGAAATATTAACAAAAAAAAAACTAATTATTTTTCAATGTTGGTGCATTTCAATCAATAATGATGTTGTTCTTTTTCCATGAAGATATAGGATCATAATATACACTATTTAGAACATAATGAACATTTTATAGTCAGTACACAAGTCGTGTATACTATGGTTTCGGGTGCCATAAAATCATATCCAACAAGAAAATGTGGAAGTAATTAGTAAATGTAATACTATGGTCTGTGCGACTATATTATATCGTTAACTAATTATTGGAAATTGAATGGGGGATGGGTTGACACATTAAAAGATTTAAAATTTGGTAAACATAACTGGTTCTATGTGAAGAAAATATCACCATGATAGTAAATAGGAAAATTCCTATTGCGTTATTGGGCTTAGTAACCAATCATTATAATTAATTACGTCATATTTGACCAGGTAAATTGAAAGCCGAAACCCTAGGGTAGAAAACCATCAGAGCTCTGGGAGATCGGTAAACAGACGCTAGATTCTTAGAGAGTCAGGTCATTCGGGATAAAACGCTGAGGTTCAAGAGATACCATCCGGATTGAGTAGACACCATTGATTTGTAGGAAAGTGCTGGCTCGCTAGCCTGGAGGTCGGGTGTTCGATCCCTGCATTGGCCGAGAAAGTTCATCCAGATTTATCGGCGTGGTTCCCCCTTGTCAGTGATGCAGGACGGAGGGCCTGACAAGGACAGCTGTCTAGTCCTTCGGATGAGACGAAAAACCGAGGTCCCGTGTATACATTGGAATGCACGTAAAAGATCCCATGGAAGTTGGAATTCGATATAAGAGTAGGCGATAGAGCCGCTACCCGGGCAAAATTTCCCTCATAGCACAATGTATGGCGTATGCTCGTCTTCATTAGCCCAGCATAGGAGCAGAACGGTAGGACGTTAAACCCCATTACATTTCATTTCATTTGTAGTAACGCATTATGATGTAGTATACTGTTCCGTCAGTAAACTCGATCCGCGAATAAAATGTGTACCAGAAGAGGGTATGCGCCACACGTTGAATGTTTTTGGCATCTGTGTTTTTCACAATTAACCAGCGACACATAACACTACATAAAGGCTAATTAATTCACAAACGACATGTGCACAATCACAATAAAAAAAGCTTGTATAGAATAGACTAATAGTAAGTGCAGGAGGACCGCACTACACGTAAAACAAAAATCTACAAGATAAACCTGCGGACAAGACAGAAAATATACATTGCAAAAAATAAACAAATATCAAATCAAGCGTCCCGGGCCTGTAGTGACACAGACTTCACTCAAATCTGAAAACAATCGTAAACGACTGCCGTTCAATTTGAACAACAGGTTCACGCATTTCACCGAACATAATTCATTAGAAATGATAAAACGTCTATCAAACATTGAATAGTAATTACAATATTTATTTCAGAAATTGAATATAAATCCCTTTACATACATTCATGTTATAATAAAATGTGCTTTTAGAACCATTTTCGTCTATTTCAATGTTCTTAAAATAGAGCTATACACCCTGTCAGGGCAAGGTAAAGTGACACCACCATGTTGAAAACTAGCCTCGACACCTACGATGACAGTTGAGGGCAGCTATTATCGCTCTATTGATACGCTGATCAATGCAGTACAGTAGCCAAGTCGATTTGCTTTCCTGTTTCAATGTAGCGTGAGATTTCCATATAATTGTGTTATTCTGAGCCAGTTACTAAACAATATGTTTATGTTGTCATTTAATTGTAGGCGTGATCTATCCTCACTCATGTCCAATCGTCAACAATTGGCTCGTTAAAGGGCTGGTTTTTTAACGTAAGTTTCAATTTTGACGTGAAGCTATGAGAGTACGACCCCTTTCGATTTCCACATCACCGCCACCACCCCGTTCCGAAGTTACCTGACAATCGCAATCCCCATTACATAATAATCGACTGAAGCAAAAAAGAAGGTAAATTATTTCAAGGGACAAGTTAATAGATCCACCATTATAAATTAAACTTTCCACGTCTGTTAACACGTGAAATATATCAGTACTAGTCGATATACAAGGTATTCGGGGGGGGGGGGGGGCACTAGTCTTCTGTAAACAGTATTTTGACATATTTTACGGGGTTAAACTAAAACATCACACCAATGCAATGTTTATCATGTTTAAGTCAGGGGGTGCCGTATTCATATTTTTTTCATGACTTTTACATATTGAATGTTACGCTTGAGTTAACAACACGACAAAGTAGGATAATTTTTATACGCCCACATTTTCATGTGGACGTATTATGCCGTCGCCCCTGTCCGTCCGGTCACAATTATTATCCGATTTTGACGAAACTTGAAATATAGGTTTATCCCCAAAAGATCTCGGCTGCTTTCGATATTGGCATGTATCGGATCGAAACTTCATGGATTATGGCCCCTGATTGTACGAAAAATCACGTTTTTAGCTTGTGGACCCTATAGAGGTCACAATTTTTATCCGATTTTGTTGAAACTTGAAATGTAAGTTTATAACCCAAAGATCTCGGTTCCTTTCGATATTCGCGCATATCGAATTGTAATTTTCTGAATTATGGCCCTTGATTGTAGGAAAAATCACTTCCTTTTTAGCTTGTTTTCTATCCATCTCTCGAAAATGTGGGCGTATCCTGCCTGGCAGCCGCTGGTTATGAAGAGGATCCAAATGAAACAAAACTTGATCACGTAACTTTAGTTTATGAGGATGCATATTTGACAATCATCTTGTTAACTACAATACTATATACATATACACATTGACATTTACAAGGAAGTTGTATAGATATTTAAAGTAGTTTGTGTATTATAAATGGATTTCAAATAAGTGTTTGTGTTTTAATTTGTACATTGTTTTATACAGATATAATCTTTACTAATCCTAATAATTGTTGTAAATAAATAGGAGTTAGGGCCTACTATGTAAATTTTCTCTTTTTTTTTCGGGGGGGGGGGGCAAGTATATTCAGCCCCCCCCCACCGAAAATAAAACCTATGCCCCCACCCCCCGTGTGTGACGCCCATGGATGTGTCCAGGTAAAACATTATTACTATTACCACGTCACAATGAACAGAGGTTAAAGGAGCTAAATCTCAATATTTGGGACCTAGAAATTGACCCAAATGTGTCGCAACGCATATAACAATGTAATCTGATTGTATATAAACTGATTTACATTCAATTGTTTCCGTTTTGACTCTAATTTCAAATCAGTTATGTCCAGCGAAATAAGGCATGTGTCTCAACCCTATAACAATTTCTAGCGTCTGGTTATTCCAGTCTATTGAGCAGGCTCTCCAGTTGAATATGTCTAGCCTCGTTCTTTCTGGTCACTTGTTGCAAATGAGGCTAAAACGCACTATGGTACACGATTCGTGTACCAATGGTAAAATGTTTATTTTGTCTTAAATATTGGATATCAGAAGCCCATCTTTTCCCGGTAATATCACAAAATCAATGTTGATTTGAATTGACAAATAATTCGTATTTTCAACGTGTAAGACTTTGGATGATATTGAGTTAAAAACTTAGCTACTTTAAGTTTAGATGTAAAAAGACAAGTTTGGATGATATTGAGTTAGAGACTTAGCTACTTTAAGTTTAGATGTAAAAAGACAAGTTTGGTGGAATGATATTTAGTTGGATGGCCGAATGGTTAGCACGTGCACGCTGCGCTGTATCATACGGTCTGTCATTGAGTCAACTGGCGGGGTTTCGAATCCCCAGTTGTACGTGACAAGGAGTAGGGTCACCTGTCCAACCTCGTGGGTTTTCTCCGGGTCCTCCGGTTTCCTCCCACTGCTAAAGACCCCTACACGCAAGCGAATTATTGAAATAAAATTGAACCATGTGTTAGTCCCGAAATGACCTAGTTTGTGTCGAGTGGACGTTAAACCCCATTTCTCTCTCTCTCTCTAGTAAAACTGAATAACATTGTGGGAATTCCCATTATTGACTTGTTTTATCTGGTTCATATTGTGGGTATGCCCGTTATTTATTGATATACTGACGTAATACAGTAGACTAAATCGTCATGTTATTATTTTGTAACTGTTAAGCACAAGACCAGTATAACCTAGTCTACAATGCTTAGGTCATAGCCACAAATAGACGGTGATTTCCCTTTTGGAGATTTTAATAAATATTTCCTGCCTGTATTTGTCTCGCCATTTTTGTTTTTCTCGCCATTTCTGCTGTCGATCAGAGTGGAAGAAGGTTGTGTTTATTAAATCTGTTACTATAACAACAACATCATGGCTGACACTGTGAGTAGAATTAACATGTTTCGGGGTATTTTAACGGATTTAAGTTCTGAACCCAACTCATTCATACAACCACGATTACTGAAATAATTTGAATTCGGTTTTATCCAGTCATATAGTGCTGACAAATAGACCAGGGTCCGATATACAGAGAGAGAGAAATGAGTTTAACGTCCACTCGACACTAACTAGGTGATTTCGGGACTAACACATGGTTCAATTTTATTTCAATAATTCGCTGGCGCGTAGGGGGTCTTCAGCAGTGGTAGGAAACTGGAGGACCCGGAGAAAACCCACAAGGTTGTACAGGCGACCCCACTCCTTGTCACGTACAACCACGCCAGTTGACTCAATGATAGACCTTATGATACAGCGCACACAGCGCGCAACTAGCCCCCCCCCCATCCCACAATATACAGACAATGAAATAATATATTTATTGAAATTGGAAAAGTAGGCGTGGGCTTGTGGTGGTAGTGGGGATGAAAGGGAGAAACAAACTAGGTCATTTCGGTAATAACATGTTTCATTTTCAATAATTAGCTTGTACGTAAGGTTCTTTAACAGCGGGAAGAGAATCGGGGACCCTAATAAAATCCACGAGGTTTGGCAGTGGGAGGAAACCGGGGAGCTCTGATAAAACCCACAAGGTTTGGCAGTTGTAGACGATATTACTGGTCACGTACAAGCCTGGGTTGAAATCCACAACATTGCATATATCACCTATAATAGGGCCTTGGTCTCACGCCCTTAGATACCAGATTGCATATATTACCTATAATAAATTTATTACAATATACCTATAGTCATAAACTGGTCAAACCGGTTTATCTGTATGTTGAGGGTATTCCCCTTATTTAATATCACTAGGTTATATTGTAACCAATAGAGGGACTTCCCCTCGTACAAAATGTGTAATATGATAATATAACTATTAAAGGTACTTCCTCTCGTACAAACTGTGTAACATACTTGAACTAAAAACATATTCAAATTAATTTCTTTATCAAAACTTTGCTTTAAATTTCTTTCAAGACATTTTAATAGTAAGACAACTACTCCATGACAACAGGAATCAGCCATGTTTATCACGTGACATGGTTGAGGGGCTATCCATTACCAGCCCGTATTTACCCTTTAGTCGCTGTCAATTTACCACAAATATCGAAGCCAAACTAAATCCCTGGATTGTCCTCTCAACTTCTTTTCCCGCCGTTTAATTACAAAATCTACTTTTAGGGCTATACCGTCACATGCTTGTCTATGATTCCCATAGGTGTTATCATGGAATTCAGTATTTTTATAGCCAGCTTGGATGACTCTACTTGCAATTTATATACCAAACTTTTGGGAGCGATAAACGTGGGAATGTATCTTTAAACATAGCAACTGTATAATATAATATCCAACTCTAACACGTGACTATTGTGTTAAACTCTAGTAAAGAAAGTATTATATAGACTGTATTATTATTATTACCTGTTCACCTAGTTAACCAATAAAATATATGACATAAGTTAACTTATATATTATTCACCTATCTTGTATTCAATATTTACTCATGAATCAATCAAATATATGATTAGAAACTCATTATCACTGTATAGGGGTATTTACAACTTATCTTTAAAATTTACAAACACTCAAATTCGTGTACGATTTATTTATGAGACGAAAAAGTAGAACATCGTATAAGTGATTTAAGACTCGAATTGTAGACAGGGGTAAAATGTGGTATTGAATATACCGACTCTATTTCACGGATTTATGATTTGTTTTTGATATTTGTTGTCTATTTCATATAGATTATGATAAATATAGTAAACCATATAAAGTTGTTTTTGTCGTGTTTAACTTTTGTTGTAATCACAATTCTATGAGGCGGACTATAGTTTTAATAAACCCCACCTTTGACTGCTCCTACAATAGAGGGGGAGGGGGGATAACGGGATCACCCCGAATTAACATTAATAGTGTTTTCAAATCAGGTTGTATTTACGGTATTAACGAGACATCATTACGTCACATGTCACCAGTCACAATTACGTCACAAGTCTTAGATCGTAATTTCTGATTATGTTAGTCTTGATGGTTGACAGCCAGGGGAGAGATAGAAAGATACGACCACTCTCTCGCTCTCTCTCTCTCTCTCTCTCTCTCTCAGTTTAAGTAAAATTTAAATATAAATAGATATATTTGTTGTTTTTTTGTTTTTAGTCACTTCAACAGATTGTCCAACAACAGATTGTCCAACAACAGATTGTTAATTTGTACGATTCAAATAATGTACAACTAGGCAAGACCAACAACATACACTGTCATCAGTCTAATCAACTAAAACAAGATGTTGATAGAATGAAGAATGAAATACAACAACTCAAGTCAGAAAATCAGACTCAAGCTAACGAAATACAAATACTCAAGTCAGATAATCAACTACTCAAGTCAGACAATGAGCAACTCAAGTCAAGGGTGAAAGTTCTGGAAGTTAAAACAGGAGTCGAGGAGACAAATAAAAATATAATTAAAGAAAAAGATGATATGATTGAACTTACTATAATAAACTACAAGTAAGTAGAAACATGGTCTTTATTCACTTGCTAATTAAACTGACAATATATTATATTTACCTGTATATACAGTATTATAATATATATTTACCTGTATGATATAAGTATTATAATATATATTTACCTGTATTTACAGTGGGTGTTATAAGATAACTATAAGTATTAGTAGAGATCAAACAGTGAAGGAATTAGAGAAGATACTGGAGAAGAAGCTTATAAAGTGTGGTTGTATTAGTTATATCTACAGTGATGATGGGCAGGACAAGTACGACTACAGACAACACAACAAACATCTCTCATTATCACACTTTAATATAGAACATGGAGATATAGTCTGGTGGCTCTAGTCTGTTGATGGTGTATAAAATATTAAATCATATATACTAACTATAAAACAATATTAAACATTTAACTTGAACATTGAATTCTATCTATATATACTAACTATAAAACAATATTAAACATTTAACTTGATGGTGTATAAAATGGAGATGTTATTTTTACAATTATAAAGACTGTGAATATATTTTGTATTCTGTTGAAGTCCAGAGTGCTAGAACGGAACGGAGACGGTGCTGCACATTGTAGCAAATATGACGTCATATGTGGATTGCAGGTTAGGACCTGCAGATTTCGTTAAAATATCCAGATGTAAATAGGGCTAGCGCTAACCCTAACCCTGGGCCAAGCCTAACCCTTACCCTTACCCCAACGCATAATCCCAGAGGGGTAGCCGTAAAATATATATGGGGGGGGGGCGCAAATGACATTATATATTATAAAATGTTGACAATCTGTGACGCCGGATAGGGAGAGTGTAGCGCAATAGGGAGAGCGTGGGAGGGTCATCCTCGCACTGGGGGGGGGGGGGCACTAGTCTTCTGTAAACACTGTTTTGGCATATTTTACGGGGTTAAACTAAAACATCACACCAATACAATGTTTATCATGTTTAAGTCAGGGGTGCCGTATTCATATTTTTTCATGACTTTTACATATTGAATGTTACGCTTGAGTTATGAACAATACGACAAAGATAGTTTAGTAGGGGATTTTTTATGAGGAGGATTCAAATGAAACAAAACTTGATCACATAACTTTAGTTTATGAGGATGCATATTTGACAATCACCTTGTTAACTACAATACATACACATTGAAATTTACAAGAAAGTTGTATAGATATTTAAAGTATTTTGTACATTTTGTGTATTATAAATGGATTTCAAAAAATAAACATAAGTGTTTGTGTTTTAATTTGTACATTGATTTATACAGATAGTCGAATCTTAACTAATCCTAATAATTGTTGTAAATAAATAGGAGTTAGGGCTTATTATGTAAATTGGGGGGGGGGGGGGTCGAAGTATATTTAGACCCCCCCCCCCCGAAAAAAAAATGTGTGACGCCCATGTCTATGGGTATTACAAGGTTTCCGACTGTTTGTCATAAGAGCCAATTCACACGATATACTGAATGTTTCAGACGTTTTGTCAACATTTCAAGAGACGGTTGCACCACAACAGTAACTCTAACCTGTGGACTGGGCAGCGCTCGCCACATCTAGGATATTTCCGGTGAGTTGAACTTCAGGTTCCAGTTTTTATCTCTGTAATAATATTTAAAACATAAAATAAATTCGCATTTTGCAAAATGATGTTTTATACACGTCATTTGGTCTTTGAAATCTAAACTTAAATCAGACTTTTTCCAAAATGGATGAATGCTACAACTGTGGCAAGCAAGGTATTAAAATGTGAGAGGGAGTGCGCATGCTGTTTCTGGCTGCGCGGACATTTTAAGTTTGATTGGAGAAAATAAATCGCCAGTGGCACATTAATAACAAGTCGGCAATGAAGAGGACGAAAGGCCAACTCTTAAGTTTGTTTGTTTTTAAACTTGATTATTATCTATATACGTCACATAATAATCGGAAAAAAGTACGGAATTCACTATGAGACATAGTATTGAGAGAGGGAGAGAGAGCGGAGGGGGGTAACGTCCATTCGATATAAACTATTTCATTTCGGGACTAACATATGGTTCAATTTTATCAATAATTAATTTTAATTTTAAAAAAAAAAGTTTTAAAATGAAGAATAGAAAGATGTGTTTCTCTCAATTATCCGTTCTTTTATCCGCGGGGGTTTGGATGGCTGCACGGTTAGCGTCAATCTGTTTCACAGAGGATTACGAAAGTAATCTGTAAAAGATGACTACTAACACGTGACGTCTCATCACGCAACGTCAATCATTGGCTCAATGGCGCGTACATTGTTTACGTAAGACATCCTAGTTCGGGCATAATGGAGACTTTTACTCATTTTAATACCCATTTGCACTAAATAGGAAATAATTTGTACCTACAAATACGTCAAACGCCTTTATTTATTTTTCTAATACATAAAAAAAATGTTTTAGAATTTAATTTGTCGCAGGAAAAAAGTTAATATTTCATCCTTATCAGTGATTGTAGCGGACTAGCGAAAATTCGCTGTTGATCAGTGTGGATTAGCGTGTGCTAAACTCTTATTGGATCTGGGTCGGCGCACCGACTGTAACACCCTGTCGCGACCTCTGATGGGAACAGAGGGAATTGAATGAGGAAAAGAAGTAAACAGATATGTTTTGATTAAGCCGGTTGATGCGAGACAAATAGGAATTTTAACACCAGTTCAGCAGTGACTGTGTTAAAACAGGTTATTGTTGGGGTTAGGATAGCCGAAAGATTAACGCGTGCACGTTGTATCATAGAGTCTGTCATTGAGTCAAATGGCGTGGTTTTGATTCTCCGGTTGTACGTGACACGGAGTAGGGTCGCCTGTCCAATCTCGTGAGTTTTTTTCCGGTTCCTTCGGTTTCCTCCCACTGCTAAAGACCCCTACGCGCAAGCGAATTATTGAAATAAAATTAAACCATACGTTAGTCCCGAAATGACCTAGTTTGTGTCGAGTGGACGTTAAACCCCATTTCTCACTCTTATCCACAGTCTTCGTGAACTTTCGGAACCTTTCAACTTGTTCGCCATATAAGAGTTTTACGCAATATCCAAGCCATTCGGTGTTCTAGAGGGTTGATTTTGGGTCTGTCATATGATTGGGTGTCTAATTTATATAACACTGAAGTCAGGCAAATTGTCTCTTCAATTATGCTTCGATAATAACGGCCCGACAGGGACAGCTGTCTAGTCGTTTGGATGGCACGAAAAAACGAGGTTCCGTGTACACATTGGCGTGCATGTAAAAGATCTCTTAGCAGTTGGAATTCGATATAAGAGTAGGCCGTAGCTCTGCTGTCTGAGCAAATTTACCCTCGTAGCACACTGCATGGCGTATGCCCGTCTTCATTAGCCCAGTATAGGAGCAGAACAGTAGGACGTTAAACCCCATTTCATTTCATTTTATTTCATTTCGATAATAATAATAACGATCATGTTCAGAAGGATTTTAAAAACCCATTAATATAACAATATCTATTTTTAAAAAATCTTCTCTGTTGAAGTTTTCATCATTTGAACAAAACATGTTTATGATTGATCGTAATTTCAAATAATTTTCCATACTTTGGAAATTAGACCAGTAGGCCAGGTCATGTAGTGGAGTTTGCGGTGGCTTTTAATATTATCTAAAATAAATTACCTTTATTTTCTTGTTGAGATTGCTAGTATTAAATAAAATGTTTCTATGGCAACACGATTTGAGGACCTATTAGTTATTATTGTTGACATTATAAATAACATCATTGATGACGAAAGATCACGTGGTTTGTACCTTAATCATAGTCGTTACCCGGCTAAAACTATTTGTTAAGGCCAGCTCAATTTTTTTCAAGGGTCATTGAGATGTAAATAAAGTTAAGGCACGTGATTGTTGTAGGTTAAAGTTAGCGTAAGCATTGGGGCTAGGTCCAGGGTTAGGGCTAGGGTTGGGATTAGAGCTAACCCTGTTTACATCTCGTGACCTATGACGAAAAATGGAGCAGGCCTTATCATTTAGCACTGAACGCCATTACCCTAGCTACCCAGTATGAATCCACATAATTACCTATTCTCTGCTCTGCTGACACGGGAAATAATTCTCTCAAAATAAAATAGATATATTATTATTACCTACTGAACTCGTCCGTAAAATCACCTAAATGACATTAAGATCAAATCTTGATCAAATTGTATGACATTAATTCACGTATTAATCGGGTATTTATATTCAAAGTTACCAGGGTCAGACAATTGAACATTCTTGTCCTCAAATATGTAACGATTGTTTTAATTGAAAATTACAATATAAAAATGTTTCCATTAACCCTGGTCATCTATCGGCTATCAATGACAATTATAATTCCCCACCTGATATATAACGGGCGTGATGCCAGCGCACAGCATGGAGTATTTATCCTAGACAATTTCGATGATATATAGTGGGTTTTTTTTGTTTATGAAGAGGGGGTCAAGGTAGCTAAGTGGGTAAGACGCTGGCTCGCTAGCCTGGAGGTCGGGTGTTCGATCCCTGCATTGGCCGAGAATGTTCATCCTGATTTTCCGGAGTGGTTCCTACCTTGTCAGTGATTGAGGACGGAGGGCCTGACAAAGACAGCTGTCGGGTGGGACGAAAAACCGATGGCTCGTGTACACATTGGCGTGCACGTAAAAGATCCATTGACAGTTGGAATTCGATATAAGAGTAGGCCGTAGTGCCGCTGTCCGGGCAGAATTTCCCTCATGGCACACTGTATGGCGTATGCCCGTCTTCATAAGCCCAGTACGGAACAGAACAGTAGGACGTTAAACCCCATTTCATTTGTTTACGAAGAAAGGTGATAGACTAAAACCCTCATAATAATTAGTAGTTTCTTTATTCAATTTACTATATTGAAATAATCAAAATCGAGAGAGAGAGAAGGGGGGGGGGGGGGTGTACCGTCCACTTGACACAAGCTAGGTCATTTCGGGGCTAATCTATGGTTCATTTTAATAAAAATGATGGGCCTTTAGCAGTGAGAGAAAACCGGAGGACCTGGAGAAAACCCCCCTAGGTTGGACTGGCGATAACCGGGGAATCAAAATCGCGCCAGTTGACTCAATGAGAGACCTTATGATGCAACGCGCACGCAATAACAATTCGGCCACGCAACCGGGAATGCTTTGGGCACTATCTCCTTTGTTTTTACCAAGAGCCGGGTTAATGTTGCATTGGACCCTCACACGAATAGCGAAAAGTGTGCACCTAGATCCAAATGGCCACAGATCACTAATTATTTCCCCATTAACTTTAATGTTAATTCTCGTCTCTTAGACCGGCTCTAACTTTTTCCCAAATTTTCGTTGGGTAGAACGCTTTCTGCCACAGATGGAGCAACATGTGGCCAACTCTTGCCCAAAAGCATGTATGAGGTTCACCATGAAAAACTTGAGATACACAAGCTGTAAGTAGAGACATGCAATTTCCGACCCTACATTTCAACGTAACCAACCTCACAACTCTTTTATCCTTCCTCCTCAAAATCATGAATATTCACCAAAACCTGGCAGAAAATGTATTTTCAAAACCTTTTTTTCGATTCTACACCAAAAAGTCAACAAAAATCGCCATGCAAGAGGGGGAAAAAAGGGAAAGGGAGAGAGAGACTAAAAATAACTTTGGCCCTTGTTTCGTGGGTGACGGCGTAGAAATATTTGGTGAGCTGTGTCCAAATATCATAGATGCAGTATAATATTAAATGATTAAATGTTAATTGTGTTTACATCTGTTTATTATGATCTTGGCAAGTGAATAAATTCTTAAATAATTTATAGAATATTTCAGGACTAAAGAAAGACCTGCAATAGGCAGATTTATTTCTTGAATAATGTATCTTTAAAGTGTTCGGGAAACATCCTCACAAAACAATGTCCAAGAGTGCTCGCCCCAAGTTTTCATTTAAACGACATGATTAAAGCAACGAAACGCAACCGTTTGTAAATTGTATCAATTAATTAAGTCAATATGTAACTTTGCAGCAAATGTTCGGATTGACCAGCTTCCAGGAGTGAAGTATCGATTATTTTGTTTCATTTTATTAAGACTCCTGAATAGTCCATCCACTCCTTTATGTTTGTCGCCATCTTCATTTAAAAGTTATTTGCATTAGTAAAGAGTTTGAGGGTACTTTTAATGTCAACTAAATTCTCACGACTAAATTGCTTTTAATTTCAACTAAATTCACCCGGCTAAAGTGCTTTTAGTTTCAGGCGGTTTCTGGTAGAGTTGGGTGCACTGAAT